AACCACAAAATTAATTTTTTCATCAGTTTTTTTCTTTCTGTTTACTCAGATGAAATTGGGACAGGTTAAACTTTAAACATTTAATTTGTGTAAATTAATACTAAAGCACTTCCCTTAGTTAAGATATTTACAATTTGAGCACATAACCTAAAATTTGAAAGAAATGCACTAGATTCTGCCATAAAAGTTGGATTCTGCCATAAAAGTTGAATTTACCTTAAGTACAAAAATGACATAAAAACGCCAAATTGACAATTTGCATTGTTAATTTTGTCATTTTTGTAATTAAGCTAAATTTAAACAATGTTTGTCAACTTTTTTGACAGATTTTGAAAACACTTTTGTTACCAACCATAACATAATAAATTAACCAGATTAGCCTAAAGTTCCTAGTCGATCAGTGGCGTACTTTTTGGTAGGATAAAGGTTATTATAAATTAATTTTAGACTTTGGAATTCAGAAAAAAAAAGTTTCAGGTGCTTCTTTATGGACCCTAAGGAACAACCCATTTTAATATATAACATTAATTACATAACACCCTGTATATATAAAATATACCAGTAAAACAGACTTTGAGAATGTATTAATTTTCTTGGTCGCTCTCCAGTCCATAAAGGTGTTATACACAGATACGTACAAATTTTGGGATTTCTCAGGCAACAAATTCAGGGAAGTGACTTTTGCAGCTTCTGTTATTTCCGGTGGAGTACACAATATATCTTCTTCACTATCAATTTCCATTGTTAACGTATTTTTGAAAGCAAATTATAATTTTACCAGGAATTATTATTGCACCACCGCGTCGTTAAAATTTGACGTTTCAAATAATTATTAGTTGTCAGTTGATTACATGGCTTACTACCTACTTGATAATTCTATTATTTATAGATTATGCAGTATTTTATTTCCAATGAATGTGATTTTTTAGGTAATTCGTATTTCGAAAAGTGACTTCTGTGATGTTTTGTTGAGTGCGTAACATCTCTTCATCTTTCACGCTTTGATTTTTTATGTATAATTTAAGATTAATAATAATTTGTAACAAAAATCGTGTGCTGAATCGAAGTTATGACGTTTCAAATTGACAGCAATTTATGCTAAGCTTGTCATGTCATGTCAATGGCTTACTTACTTGAAATAGTCTACTTAATGTTAAATTTTTATTCAATTGCATTAAAAAAACATATTAAAGTAATACTTTAACAAGAATTTTATGATTGGTATAAAGTTAGCTAATTAAAGTGCCTGGCTATAATTGCCTAGATGAACTTATAAGTGCTTGCCAGATACAATCTATATCGTGTGTCCTATAGGAACTCTAGACCAGTGAATAATGATTATTCACTGCTATTATTCACTCTGTGAAATATGACTATCATTTTGCTTTAGAAAACTCATTTATAAAGTATATATTATAAGGTAGTCGTGGATAAACATTTTTATTAAACCATTAAAATTACAAATTAAAAGTATGAAACACCTTGTTTAAATGATTTAAAACGCCTGTAAGCATTAGGATAGCAGTATGCAACCAAGATAAGGCTGAGGTAGATCACAATTAAAGTAGGTAAAATAAAGCACAAAAATAATATTTTTAAAATAGTTCAGTAAATTACAGGTTTATTTAATAATATAATTGAATTGGTTATTTGAAAAAGGAAATATGTCCGGTTTTTGTTGATTTTAAAATTTTCACACCAAATCAATTTTTTAATAGGTATATAGGTATTTTCTTTATTATTTTCTGTTTTTTTTTAACATGAACCGACTGATCCGAGAACCGGATCAGTGATCCGGATCCCTATAATGAGCGTGATTCATTGATCCGATTCTCGAGAAAGATCCGGATTGCCCATCACTAGTTAAATTAAATCATACTACACAGAAAAAAAGGAAAAAAAGAAAACAGGAAGTTCCTTGACGCATTACAAGGATATTACCAGTGGTATTATTCCAGAAAATTGAACCTTCAACTCGCTAGAGATAATGTTTTTAGTCCGTTCCACCAACTTAAAATACTTCAAGTATTGACAAATGAAATAATTTTCTACTAAAAGCGAAAAAAATGTTATTTTTAATATTATATTTAATTTAAAATATTCCTAGTGGATTAGCAAAGAAATTCATCTAGTTTTACACTCCAGAATGAACAACGTTCTGGTACGGCTCTGTGCAAAGGAGAGAACAACACAAGATCTGTGTGCGCACGCAAGGTATTGACATACAAAATTAATAAATTCGCTTAAAATTTATCTCGTAATTACTACTTACTGGAAAAAGGAAATTGGTTGGAATTGGCTGGAACTAGTTTCACTACGAATAGGACACATTTTAACAACACATTTACCCATAATGTACAAAGAATTTTACATAAATAATATATCCTCACAGGTCAACTGCTCAAATATGAATGATGCGAACTGGAACACAGGCACCCGTTCAGGCACCCGCCCGGCCGTATCATTTTCTCCTTAAGGCAAGTCTATTTTGTCTGTGGTACACACTATGCAACCAGGAATGTACGGCAAATTGTTTTAATCGTTTTAACAGAGTGCTTTAGGTTGAAGTAACTCATTTTACGAACAACATATTTAGTAAACTGAACCCGGGTTGGTTTCGCTAATGTTTTCTGGGTTAATTTAACCAATTTAAAATAAATAAAATAACTATTTGGTTTAGTACCGTCAAACTAATCTTTGTTTATATGTAATAAATACTTATGGGTCAACTAAATTAATATAGTTAAATTAACCATTCCTTTTTTTCTGTGTAGGTGCACTTTTCAAATACTTTTAGATAAACACCGTTTTGGTGTTTATGATTTTCAACCATAATTCATGGTGTTTATATTAACACCGCTTGGTGTTTGATTTTGACACCATTTTAAGAGTACTCTTTACACCACAGATATTTTAAACAGTGTATCAACTCTCTAAAAATGAATTAGTCAAAAATAACTAATTTAATAGTTAATAGTGGCTGCTTTTTCACTTGTGCCATGGTTAACCATCAAATACCATGGTATCCCAAAATTTAATAGCCAATTCTTATGTAAAATTTTACCCTGAATCCGAAAATGTCTTCAAAAGTTAAAAAAGTAGAACAGTTTTTGAGATATTGTAAATTTTCCATTTAATATGGAATTGACTATATCTCAAAAACTGCTCCACTTTCATAACTTTTGACGGTATTTTCAGATTCGGAGTACAATTTTACATAAGAATTGGGATACCATGGTTTTCGATGGTTAACCATGGCACAAGTGAAAAAGCAGCCACTATTAACTATTGTAACGAACGGGGCATGGGGGGCACTCATTAATAATAAAAAAGAATATTAAAACCACAAAAACTACCTTTGGCCAAAACACGTGATCGTCTAGTTTAAAGAAATAAATTTAGGACCCCTTTTTGTTGTGAATACGGTTCTGGATACGTAAGTACTTGAGCCAAGAAAAAGTATTAAATTAAAATAAGTTTATTAATAAAGGCAATTAATACAAGAGTTAATTATTGTTACTGTACATTAATAATATAAATAAAAACATTTGTATTTGAAAAGTATGATTGATTTAAGTTAATAAGGTAAAACCTTAAAAACCCACATATATAATACAACAAAATCAAAGTAATCAATATGAATATAATCAATAATATTATCATATTGCTAAGATTATTCACCTACATAAATGGTAGGCTCGGACGGTGTAGAAAAGCAAATACACATTGAAATAATTATCGATGTACAGCAACAAATAACAATAATGTGAAACATAAAGTATAATATAACTTAGGTTATAAGCAACAATAATAAATGGTATTTGTATAAATAAAATATATAAATAACAAGTGGTGTAGTAGTGGACAACGGTAATGCAATTTAATTGTACAGCCATAATTAACAAATACAATCAGGTATAATCAAGTAATAAAAACATGTCAGTGCAAATCAACTATAGCAAAATAAAATGATTATCAATAATAATAAAATAAGACCATAAAACAACAACTTCATATCAATATTCCTATCTAACCATTCTTTGTCTAAATTGGTTAACTGGCATATGAATATCAATTTATCAAATAAATAAAATAAGATAAACTGTACAAAATACACTATGTAAATGTTAAATATAAATATGTAGTAAAATGTAAAATTACATTACAAAATAATATGTTAAAGTAAATGTAATATAAATATAATAATTATAAACATAAAATAATGATTATGATTTGGTTGTCCAACCACCAACATTAAGATAAAATAATTCAGCTTATTCTTTCTCTAACAGAGAACAAGTTGAAATAATAATAATAAAATATTGTTTAAATTAAATATTAAATAATTAACCACTTATTATGATATTTGTGACCTCAGATTATAATAACTAAATATAGAAAAGACATACCTATTTAAATGAACAACACTTTCACAAAAAACTGAGTTTATATAAAAAACAATGTAATATTTGGTAAATTCACTCCCTGATAAAATTAAAGAATTCAACTCTTCCCTTCAAATAGTAAAACGTAACTCTCTCTTCAAATAGCAAAACCCAACTGTCTTAAATATACTGTTCTCTCTAAGTTTTTAACACGCTCTTTTTATGTTTATTTTTTAAGACTAGGAACATGAACCAATACTTGCTTATTTGGTCTTTCTGTCTCGAACCCTCAAGTGGCCGTCCAGATGGGACTCATAAATTATTATTGTATAATAAACAAATAAAGAATGTATCGAATTCTAAAGTGAAACTTACACCTAACACCTAATACAAATTTAAAATAAATATTTAAAATTTAATATAATATTTCGTAAAGCTTAAAAACTTAAAATACCAAATGTTAAAAATCAACTGCCCCATATATCGTACCATTACACTATTAAATTAGTTATTTTTGACTAATTCATTTTTAGAGAGAACAGGTTTCAATATTTTTTTTCGTGTCCATGTCAGACTTTGTTCCTTTGACGTTCTTTTCTTTGCAGGTTTTAAAAGCCAACAAGGAACGCCAGCTCCTCTCGCGTCTTCAAAAACGCGAAATAGGTTTGGCAACGATGCTTCTCTGCGTCGTTCTTGTCTTCTTCATCTGCAACTTGTTGCCTCTAGTCATCAACATCATAGAAATCTTCGAGCTGGACCCGGACATAGACCTCGGCATGATGATCTTCACCAGCAACCTGCTGGTCACCATAAACTCAAGCGTAAACTTCATCATTTACGTGATTTTCGGCGAGAAATTCAAGAGACTGTTTTTGGTGTTGTTCTGCCATAACTCGCTATTTAACAGTGGAAGAGACTCGCCTGATATGCACGATACTAGTTTTATTTCGAATGGCGACAGGATTAGTCTTAGATTACAGAGACAGAGCACCAGTATCAGCAGGACTGGGTTCACAGGTAAATATTAAATTGTACCAAAAATTATATTATACAGGGTGAGTCATTTAACTTGAAACTTTGAAAGATCTCACACAGTAAAAAAGTAGTGAAGATATTTAACTCTAGTAAACTCTAAAAACATTCTATATGCGACGACTTTTTTTAGAGTTATATATTCACTAGGGTGATTCATTTCCGCAAAGTTTTTGTTTTTTTTCGGTGCTCAAGCAAAATATTAATCTACCTATAGAAAAAAAAAATTTCACCAAGGTAGAGCTCTTAATATCAATTTTAAGTACTTGCAGTTTAAATTTAAAGTTTTCCCATTTAAAATGCATGTAAAAAAATGTTTTTTTTTTCAAATTTCTAATGCTTACCCACCTTTGATAATATTGCAAATCGGTTTAATACACCTTATGGGGAATTTCACGCTCTTTAAAATTGCTTTTGAGTTTTTTTTTGTAACTCGCATTGGTTCACCAGTAGGAGTCGTCAAAGGACAGTTTTTGAAAAAAATCGTTTTTTTTTTATTTTTTCGAGCAAATTGCCAAAAGTAGTGAGAAAAAAGGGCTGATTCATAAAAAAAAAGTTATCCAACCAATATTTAATGAATTTACTGCCATTTTTATAACTGAAAACGTAAGAAATTGATAAATACCAACCCATAATGTTATTTAGATTGATTTTTTCTATTTATTATCATTATATTTCCCTACACTAAGAACTTTTTTAAAATTATTATGATTTCTCACTCATAATGAATATGAAAACAACACATAAATTCATAAAAAAAAACAACAAAACTTTAATCGGAATATACAGAAGGTTATGTAACATATTTCAAATTTCGCTTCAAAAAATTAAATAATCTTCATTTATACTTTTTTGCTATTTTTTTATGAATTTATCTGTTGTTTTCATATTCATTATAAGTGAGAAATTAATAATTTTAAAAAACTTCTTATTTTAGGGAAATATAATGATAATAAATAGAAAAAATCAATCTAAATAACATTATGAGTTGGTAATTATCAATTTCTTACGTTTTCAGTTATAAAAATGGCTGTAAATTCATTAAATATTGGTTGGATAACTTTTTTTTATGATTCAGCCCTTTTTTCTCCCTACTTTTTGCGGTTTGTTAGAAAAAATTAAAAAAAAAACCGATTTTTTTCAAAAACTGTCCTTTGACGACTCCTACCAGTGAACCAATGCGAGTTACAAAAAAAAAACTCAAAAGCAATTTTAAAGAGCGTGAAATTCCCCATAAGGTGTATTAAACCGATTTGCAATATTGTCAAACTGCAAGTACTTAAAATTGATATTAAGAGCTCAAACTTGTTGAGAATTTTTTTTTCTATATGCAGATTAATATTTTGCTTGAGCACCGAAGAAAACAAAAACTTTTCTCCCTACTTTTTGCGGTTTGTTAGAAAAAATTAAAAAAAAAACAATTTTTTTCAAAAACTGTCCTTTGACGACTCCTACTGGTGAACCAATGCGAGTTACAAAAAAAAACTCGAAAGCAATTTTAAAGAGCGTGAAATTCCCCATAAGGTGTATTAAACCGATTTGCAATATTTTCAAAGGTGGGTAAGCATTAGAAATTTGAAAAAAAAACATTTTTTTTACATGCTTTTTAAATGGGAAAACTTTAAATTTAAACTGCAAGTACTTAAAATTGATATTAAGAGCTCAAACTTGTTGAGAATTTTTTTTTCTATATGCAGATTAATATTTTGCTTGAGCACTGAAGAAAACAAAAACTTTGCGGAAATATTCACACTGATGATAGTGTAATAATTTATATTTCTAGGGTAAATATTATAACGGTATTTAGTGTTACATTTAATTTACTAGTGCATAAATTTAACACTACTGTGTGTTAAGGGTACTCTGGGTAGTGACCCGGAAAAAATAGTTTTGTTAATTAGAGTATTATTTTACACCATTTTTATAACATTTAGACTCTTATTAATGAGTTATTTAATCTTTTAGAGTAAACAAACTACTCTATTTTTAGTTAATACTCTGATTAGTAAACTTTACATTCAAATCGAGTAAAAATTACTCTATCCTTAGTTGCTATAAAAAGAGGAAAATTAAAAACATATATTTAAATTCAAAAGTATATTTTGTGAAAAATAACAAAAATAAAAAAATCATATAACTAATGTTAACATAAAAATAAAAACAATGTATAATTATAATATTTAAATTAACTCGAACAAATGTTTCTTTTAAATCAATGCATCCATTTTGAATGGGATTTGTATATAATTGGCTCGTTTTTGTTATTATCGGTTTTTAGACATAATGCCTAATCACATTTCAAGTTTTTACAATAAAATATCTTTAATATAAATAATAAGAAATAATGTACCTATTTTATACGTATTATGCAGCGGCACCCACGCACAAGCGAACCATTAAACAGACCTTGGAAACAGCACTAAACTAGTTTACAAATTTATAGACGCTTTGCAATCCCCACCACAAATAATAACCCTTATAGTAATGTAAAACTATACTCGCTTACTGTTTACTTTACTCTAATCCAAAACAATAATACACTAGCAAGAGGAAAACTAGGGAAATTTTAACGCAAATAGCGGTTGTAAAATACTAATTTAAATTGTAAATGTGTAACCTTTTACAAAGTCTAAATTAACACTAATGCGATTGTATTAGACATTCGAGTAAAAAATATAATATTTTTAGAGTTACGTTATTATTACACTGTCAAATAATGTAATATAGAGTTATTAGAGTTATATATAAATATTGATTAAAATATAAAATGAAAAATTATAAAAAAGTATTCAAATTGCAGGAAATACCATCTTAATTATGAAAATTTCCCATTTTGGCGAAAAAAAATGCATTTTTTCGTCCGGAGGGACTGAACGAAAGTTCTTCAAAATTTAACAGAATGTTCTCCTTAATATAAACTAAAAACTGTACAAAAAAAAATTGTGTATTTGCCTTGCTAGGAAGATACAACGGTATAAAACACCATAAATTGTATAGAATATGGAATTACTTTCATTGTATTTTTTATCAAGATGGCTTTGATAAAAAATGCTATTTAAAGGTGTTTAAAAAAGTAATGTTAAATAGTAAAAATGAATAATAATAATAATAATAATAATTACTTTAAATACAAATATACACCAAATCAAATTTTCATAGCCTACTACATAATATCAATTGTAGAAAATTGTCATTTTTAGTTAAAAGAATCCTAAATTTAGCACTAAAAAAAACTGCATTTGAAAAAACATTTGTATAATTTTAGGCATATATTTAAATAGTACATTGTTTTATGGTTAAAACAAAATATTACGCAATCAAAATATTAATAAACAACTAAGTTATAAAGGGTTTTATTAGACACCGATTTGGTAATTTTTTATGCAAACCGGTCAACATGGCCCTGCCTACTTTCTCAGGGTGTTTAAATAAAAAATTATTATTGTGGTTTTTGTTCATCCTAAGCCTTGGTCTTCACACCCTAAAAGTTTTAAGAAACTCCAATAAGGTCAGCTTTCAATTTTTGTCAAATTTGGTGAAAAATGATAGAATGACTCAGTTAGTTTGCATTTTACGAAAAAATGTTTAAAATAAAAATTAAATGATTCGAGGGGGGAAATCAATACTACTAGTACTAAAATTGGTCCTCATACTCTCCTCCTTATAGGGGAAACAGGAGGTAACTTTAAAATGTCCAATGGAACACCCTATTGCAGATTCGGATCATTCGAGTTAAAATAGGTAGATTTTGTCTAAAACATTTTTTCATATTTGTAATAGATGGCGCTGTAATGAAAAAAATCAATTTTGTTGGATTTTTCTTCTATATACGATTCTGCAAAGTTTCCTTTGGTTTAAGTTGTAGGTATACATTATTTCATTCGGTGATAATTATCAATTGCGCACCATGGTCACCTTTTACCTACCATGCTGCAGCATTAAATCTTTTAATTTAAAGGATTATTGTGCTATTTTTAATAAAAATACCTCATTTAAAGTAAAAACACATTATTTTGTCAATTAATTAATTTAATCCTAATTGAGGTATAAAAAATGGTATTATTGAGCTATAAAGAAACTATTTATAGTTTAGCATTATTTAATCAATTTAATTCGAAGATTAATTTGCAAACAAAAATACCTCCTTTCGTTAAGCAGTTATTCATAATGGATTTTTTAACAGTGGAAGAAGAAAAAATAGAAATGATTTTGATTTATGGAGAAGCAGGCAGGAATCTTGATGATGCTGGTAAAATCTACGATTAGCGTTTTCCGTAAAAAAATCGATCACGTACTTCATTTCACCGTACAGTCAAGCAATTTACTACAAACGGGTGTGTTCAACCGAAAAAAAGAGTTAGTAAAGCAACAGTCACAGGTGTAAATAAAGAAATTACTGCATAAGCAGCAACGGCCGCTAATCCTCATGCAAGCACACGAGAATTATCTAGAGATTTGGGAATATCCCAGAGCAGTGTTAGCAGAATATTAAAACGAAATACGAATTAATAAATGCATTGAAGTCGAAGGCCACCATTTTGAGCACCTTCTTCACTGAAAAAAATAAGCTGTTGAAACAACAAAAAAAATATTAATTCAACTCTTTATGCACTTTAAATACAAGCAATGGTTTTTGCACGTTTACTTAACCATCTAAAAATGTCAAATTGTATTGTTTAATTGAACAACAAATAACAGTCAAATGAACAAAATAAGAATATTTGTTCTAATCTGCTAATTTGGTTAATTGGTGTTAAAGTAAATTTCTTGAAATGTCCAGGTAACCTTTTTAGCATATTCACTTAACACCAATAAAATGTTAAATTAACATTCTGAAAATGTAAAATTCTTTAAAGGTTGGTATCCAAAACAAAATTATGGAAATAATATATTATTATATATAAATAGAAAGAATTGAACCTTCACCTCGCCCAGAGTTTTTGTTTTGAGCGTGTTCCACCCATGATACATCTTTGTATCATGTGTTCCACCTACTTCAAATACCGACAGACTGTTTTGCCCTGTATTAAGGGTCTTAACAGTGTCGGGCAATATGGTGTAGTGAAAGTTCTACTGTGGAACACACCTTAAACAAACAGATATCTCATCTTATATACACCTAATCGTAAGCTAACTAAGGCGAGATGTAAGAAAACGTCATTGTCTAATGACGTGGCGTGAGTGTTCGAAGCGCCATTCTCGGCAATTTTATGAATGCAAATTTTACATTTTAAATTTTAAAGTAACATTTTAAATTTGTTAAATGAACAAATTTAAAGTTTTGGATTAAAGAGCAACTAAACGTTAATTTAATAGTTTTTTTAGGTAATCCTAAAAATTTCAGTAGTTGATTCAACAAATTCCAGCTATTAAATCAAAGTACGATAAACATTTTAATTCAAAATATTAGTTTATGTTAAATTAATATTTAAACTGTCGAATGAACAAATAAACTTTGACAAACTCTGACTTTTGCTTTAACACCAAAATATAGATTAATCCAATAGGTTTTTTGTTGAAACAACATTTTTAAAAATGACATTTAGGCAAATGTTAACTCAACTACATTATTTTTTTCGGTGTTTAATTAAAATTTAAAAAATAAAACCAAGTATTTTATTTAAAAATTATTGGAGAATTATTAGAAATTTTAAAGTTACCCCCTGTCTCCCCTATAAGGAGGAAAGTATGAGGACCAATTTTAGTACTGATTGATTCCCCCCCTCGAATCATTTTTATTTAAAAAAAAATTCGTAAAATGCATACTAACTGAGATAATTCAAAGTTTCAAGTTAAATGACTCACCCTGTATATAAATCAAAGTTTATTTGCAAAAACAACTTTATTGTGTTTTTGGGCACGAGCGACTTATAAACGAGTTTCTTACTATACTTTTTCTACGGCAAATACTTATTATTATCTAAAAATGATTTAAATTAAATATTTGTATAGAGTGACATCTATACAGAAATAGAGTAACCGTAAGAATTGAAATCTGTATTGCCGGCGGCAAATGTCAAATTTTTCTCTGTAAATCGAAATTTATCCCTTAAAAATGGCCTAACAACCATTTAAATCCAAAATAGAATTAGTTTTTTAAAGTAATGGATGTAACTGAAAAAAACAAATTCATAATTTGAGGAAGAAGTCCTTAAATTTTTCGTTTGTTTATTTTTAAAAATGTAAATATTAGGGTCATTTTCAAAAAACACCCGCTTTCAGGAAAATGAAGATCAAAATATTTTTTTGCTTAAATTGACTTTTGGTTGGATTTTTATAAATGTGGCAGTGCACTTTTTAATTTTTTTACGTTTTTTTCAGAAAAATGTGTTTAGCTAGGTTTATATATCTCCACTGTGTTAACAATTTGAAATCCAAAATTTAATTCAATAAAAAAAGTTGTTATAAAAATAATTTGAAATAAAATGTACTTAGTTCACAAACTTTTGACTCCAATTTTTTATTTTATTTTTTATTAAAAATTGTATGTTTTTTTTAAATATGTATCTTCGTTAAGTTACTTTTTAAAAGAAACCATTCCGATTCTTTGTTAAAAAAACAATACCATTAATATTTTCTTTTAGTCACTGTATTAGTGAATTAAACTCTAATTTATAAACACGTATTACAAAGTGATAGTGTATAAAAATCATTTTAAGTATTTTTTTTTAACAAAAGCTAAAAAAAGTAACGAAATAGACATTGGTATCACAACGGACAGGGGTACACAAAGGACTTAATCAAATAAGGTAAAAAAGAAACTATATAGGGTGGTACGATTTTAGAGTAATGCAGAAACAAAATCCCTTGTAGTGGTGCTCACTTGCAGAATAACAACTTAGATTTCTAAATTGTAGACACCCTTTTTCTTTGACTATAAGCTGGTGAAGGTCCCTTTTAGTACTTTTATATTGCGTGGAATTTTTCCTTGGATGTAATCTATATCATGAGTTGTAATTACAAATAATTTTAAATTGGTTAATCATAAACTACTTTTAATAAAAGCGACGGTAAATATCCACTTTGTTGTCGAAAAATTCTATTGCGTTACCCTAAATTCCATTGCGTTACCATAAGGTAACATAGTGGACTCGGTAAGTTTTGTAAAACCGTATGTTTAAAAAAGACATTATAGTCATTAATTATTCTCAATGAGCTTTAGTAAGAGTATTTTTTCTTACCTTATTTTTATTATTTTTTTGAGTAACACCTGTTTCAACCGATATCTTCTTCCTAATTAAATAAATAAATTCAGCTGGGTAATGTGTACGCCCGAACATCATTTGTAGATCACGTGAGTACCAAAAAAGTTGCCATATATGTTTTTTTATATTATATCGGTAACGCGCCGTACGTAACGCAACGGAAAAAATGTCTGGGACATGAGTCAAATTTAAAAAAAGTAGATTAAAATTAGTTATTTTATATATAAATTGTTTACTGTATTAACTAAGGATGTTATGGATTGCTATAAAGCAACACAAAGTTCTGGTTATTCAATATTTAAAAAAAAACATGTAGGTATGTAAGTTTTATAAAACGCTAATGGGACATGCGAAAATGTGTGTTTCACAAGTTTCAAAATTAAAAAATATATTCTTAAATAACTAAACAAAAATTTTCTGAAAGAGTTTACTAAGGGCTTGTTAGGCTTTCACTTGGTTTTTAAATCAATAAGATCCGATAATTTTTACCAAAGTTATTGGAATTCAAACTTTCGGACATCGGAAGGCGGGTGTTTTTTGAAAACGACCCATTAAACAATAAATCCTAAAAATTTTATTTTATTATTATTTTATTTTTAATTAAAAGTCTCCAAAAAAAATAATTAGGTATTGTTGTTAAAATGGAAATAAAAAAAAAATTTTCAGGGTTTCATTATTGATAATGACTGCTTTATCTTAAAATATATTAATTTAAATTCCACGATCAATTGGGAAATGGGGGGTTCACTTACTCAATCGTAAGTGAATAATTAAGAGTGCACAATATTATGTATTACTAAAGTCAACGGTTGTGCTTTCTTTATAGCAAAATTAACATTGAAATCTCCACTTAAGAAGCAAGGCAACAACAAGCAAGAGAAAACCTTTTTCGGTTACTTGAGTGATTTATTTGTTCGCAGGAGGCAGCAGGATAAACGACCCATCGAGGAGAGAAAAGCGGAGTTACTGTCCGGTCAACAGATCTGGCAAGGAGATAACAGCATTCACGACGCAAACGTCCATTCCAGGATCCGAATAACGGCATCAAACGCAGCCGCCAGGACGAAAGGAGACGTTTCAGTTTTGATTTCTCTTTGTGGTGTTACACAAACCGACACGTCTTCTTTACGATGGCAACTGCGTTCAGGTAATAAGGGTACATTACATGGTTAATTAACGATTAATGAACAATGTTTATTGACCATTGTGAAATGTCAAAAACTAAGTAGTTGATGTTATGGCGAACTATGGGCGAATTTTCGTTAAATGTACATTTTGTATATGTATTTTGTCCAGGCAGGTCAATTTGATCGATTTTTTTTCCTTTGTGATAGAACAGTGTAATAGACTGCAAAAAAATTCTATAAGTTTATAAATAACAAAAATAAAACTTATAGGGTTAATCTGAAATAGAAAAGGAACACAAGGAAGAAATGAAACATTGTCCTCCTCCTAACGCATCTTTTTGAACGTTTTATGACACATTGCTTTTGAATTTTTTAAACGTTATTTTTCAGAAATACTGTTGTATGTAAATATCTTTCGGAATCTTTTGGCATTTCTACTATGCTATAATACAAAATGAAAATAAAAAAGTTAACTTCCAAAACAAGAGTTGTATGTAGCGTTTTGTAAAAGACACCAAAAAGTGTACGCAATAATTTAAATAAAAAAATCGCCTCTGGGGACAGTTAGGTTACAGGACATTTCACCTAGTTTTTCTGCCATATATAGAAACACAAAATAATTAAAAAAAAAATAAGATGGGTCCTAATAGGAAGGGGGTATAATAAATACAAAATTTATCAACAAAGGTAAAAAAAAAAAAAATAGCTGGGGACAGCAAATTTAACGAAACTAACGAAAATTTGCCCTTGTACCAAGAGCATCTGGATAGAGTTTATCGAAAAGGAAGCAACCGCCAAAAACTTTATCTGGGGTAAACAAATTTATTTGCAAAATAACTGATTTTTAATGCTGCTCAAAAAATTAATAATGATTTGGGAACAATCCTTTTGAGAAAAGTTCCAAATGATGATCAACCTTTTGAGCATTATTAAAAATAAGTTATTTTACAAATAGTTTTACCAAGACCAGAAAAACTTTTTGGCGATTGGTTCCTTTTGATCAGCGTTACCCATCTGCACATAACTTGTAGATAGGGTTGGGACAGTTGAAATTTTCAAATGAAAATTTCAACTTTGAAAGTTTCAAACTTGAAATATAACATTTATAAATGTATGTTAAAATGTATGTATAGTTGGAAAAGTGAAATTTTTAAAAATTTCAAATGAAATTTTAAATCCGAAAATTTCAACATTGCCTGTGAAAGTTTCAGAAATTTCATTGAAAGTTTCACAATTTACTGAAAATTTCGCATAAATTTCACATGCTGGCCTCCCCTGGGACCTTTAATAATATTTTACAACAGATTCCGAATCGACCAATAAGAACGAGTTATCAAGCGTCTGAGCGTTTTTGTTTAGTTCGGCTTGGATTTGAATACACTATAAGTTATTATTGTTACTTATATGCATAAATTAATTTAAATAATTTAATTCAGTTACCAATTTAATTTGTAAATTAAATCAGACTTTTTTAAAAGTCATGAAAAATTTTGATGACGTTTCTTCAATTTATGTAATATTTCAGTAAAATATTTAAAAATAATAAATATATATAAATATAAAACAATGAAAGTGGCACAATCTCATCTCTTTTAGTTTTAGTAATTTTAAAAATATTTAAAAAGGAAATCTCAAGAAATTTGTGGTAAACATAGGTATTAACTATTTATATTATTAGTGCAGGGGCCCACAGAGGGGTAGGAGGTAAGAGAGGCAATTTGCCATGGTCTCCGAATTATTACACTTAAAGTGATTGAAATTTATTGAAAGTTTCAATAAATTTCATGAAATTTCAGAAATTTAGGAAATTTTAATAAATTTCATAAATTTCATGAAAATTTCAAGTGAAATTTCAAGTACAAGCAAAAAGTGAAATTTTCCCAACCCTACTTGTAGACTATACCATGTTAAAAAAAAACATAAAATAGTAACGCCGCTTGACAACAGATTTTGAGTTTTGAACTTTTACTTTACATTTAATAAATTATAAATAACCATCTACATATGTATAAGTAGCGCAAAAAATACGAAACTATGTTCTTTCCAAAAACTAGCTTAAATTTTTAGGGGTCCCTGATGAATTTTTCAAAAATAGTCAAATTGAATTATTTTTAAACACAAAAAATGAATGAAGTTTTTCAAAATTTCAGTTCAAAATATACAGTGTGTATCAGCCAAATGGAACAAATTCGATAATCCTTAAATGGGGGCCAAAAACACTCAGACACGTCGATTGGTAACTTTTTGTACAGGGTGTGTCATTTAGCAGTGGCCAATACCAAATTTCGATATGGTTTCAATGTCCGGCAGTACCTCAACCGAATATTTACAAATAGTTGTATAGGAAGTCGAGGATCGATGTAATGGCCAGCACGATCCCATGATCTGACGTCATTATACTTCTTCCTATGGGGATATATCAAAAGTTTTGTATGCAAAACCAAACCACCTAGCTGACTTAAGAAGACGATTAACGCTGGCCATTAGATTGGTTACGCCTCAGATGTTGAGTAACGTTAGTTTTTATTTAAGATTTGGATGTTGCCAAGTCGTTCACAGCGAGCGATTGATTTTCAGTGTGTTGTTGCAAATGTAAGTAATCAAATAATTATTGTTCTTTAATTTTATTTTTTTAATATTTCGGAAACAGTTGAAGATAGGTACCTATGGGACATTGTACAGGGTGGTATAATGTCGCCCCCTTTAACTTTTTTTATTTTAAGTGTCCCAAAAAATTTAAAGTATGGTTATGTAGGTACTGTGAAATAATATTTTTCTACGTATAAAAAAGCATTTGAAACGTTATCATCAAATATTTTTTTAAACTGTTACAAATCAATATGCCTCAGGATAACAAAATGTTTATTGAAAATAAATAACTATAGTGACATTATGTCAATATTAATTGAATATTGATATTAAAGTGAGTAAAAATGCCGTACTCAGACAGAGAAAGACAGACTAATTTAACTTATTATCACCCATAATATAACAAGTGGTATGATTATCATCGATGATATTTTCGAATTGAAACCGAGCTGCAGATTTCACGAGTCCGCAGGACGAGTGAAATGTGCTGCTTCGGTTTTAATGAGTAAATATCATCGATAATTAATCATACCACGAGTTATATTTAGTGAGAAAATATAATGAATTTTAGGATTTAACGAATTTTTAGTTTGACATTTGAAATTAAAATGTGCTTTAAAATATAAAAAGACTTTAATAAACCTTATTTATTCAAACTTACCTTAATTTAATTATCGTTTACACCAACCCATCGATCTTTTAGAGTTTATAATTCATTATTTTATTGATATATATCAAAAACAGAATTTAAATGACAACAAATGTCAAATCAAAAAAACGTCAAAATTCATAGTAACGTGTAAACAAGATGATAAAAATTATTGCCGCTGTGATAAAATACGTCACTATGGAATACTGACATTTTATTGGTTCTAATATTAATGAATTGTATTGTCACTCATAATATAACAAGTGGTATGATTATCATCGATGATATTTTCGAATTGAAACCGAGCTGCAGATTTCACGAGTCCGCAGGACGAGTGAAATGGGCTGCTTCGGTTTTAATGAGTAAATATCATCGATAATTAATCATACCACGAGTTATATTTAGTGAGAAAATATAATGAATTTTAGGATTTAACGAATTTTTAGTTTGACATTTGAAATTAAAATGTGCTTTAAAATATAAAAAGACTTTAATAAACCTTATTTATTCAAACTTACCTTAATTTAATTATCGTTTACACAAACCCATCGATCTTTTAGAGTTTATAATTCATTATTTTATTGATATATATCAAAAACAGAATTTAAATGACAACAAATGTCAAATCAAAAAAACGTCAAAATTCATAGTAACGTGTAAACAGGATGATAAAAATTATTGCCGCTGTGATAAAATACGTCACTATGGAATACTGACATTTTATTGGTTCTAATATTAATGAATTGTATTGTCACTCATAATATAACAAGTGGTATGATTATCATCGATGATATTTTCGAATTGAAACCGAGCTGCAGATTTCACGAGTCCGCAGGACGAGTGAAATGGGCTGCTTCGGTTTTAATGAGTAAATATCATCGATAATTAATCATACCATGAGTTATATTTAGTGAGAAAATATAATGAATTTTAGGATTTAACGAATTTTTAGTTTGACATTTGAAATTAAAATGTGCTTTAAAATATAAAAAGACTTTAATAAACCTTATTTATTCAAACTTACCTTAATTTAATTATCGTTTACACCAACCCATCGATCTTTTAGAGTTTATAATTCATTATTTTATTGATATATATCAAAAACAGAATTTAAATGACAACAAATGTCAAATCAAAAAAACGTCAAAATTCATAGTAACGTGTAAACAAGATGATAAAAATTATTGCCGCTGTGATAAAATACGTCACTATGGAATACTGACATTTTATTGGTTCTAATATTAATGAATTGTATTGTCACTCATAATATAACAAGTGGTATGATTATCATCGATTATATTTTCGAATTGAAACCGAGCTGCAGATTTCACGAGTCCGCAGGACGAGTGAAATGGGCTGCTTCGGTTTTAATGAGTAAATATCATCGATAATTAATCATACCACGAGTTATATTTAGTGAGAAAATATAATGAATTTTAGGATTTAACGAATTTTTAGTTTGACATTTGAAATTAAAATGTGCTTTAAAATATAAAAAGACTTTAATAAACCTTATTTATTCAAACTTACCTTAATTTAATTATCGTTTACACAAACCCATCGATCTTTTAGAGTTTATAATTCATTATTTTATTGATATATATCAAAAACAGAATTTAAATGACAACAAATGTCAAATCAAAAAAACGTCAAAATTCATAGTAACGTGTAAACAGGATGATAAAAATTATTGCCGCTGTGATAAAATACGTCACTATGGAATACTGACATTTTATTGGTTCTAATATTAATGAATTGTATTGTCACTCATAATATAACAAGTGGTATGATTATCATCGATGATATTT